TGAAAGTATTAAGACTTTATTAGCAAAAAAGTATAAAAACTTCTTGCGAACATCTTTTTTGTGTGTGGTCAGAGGATCAGCGGAAAGAGTTTTATATTTTATTTTAAGAGTTAATTTATTTTATTTATATAATTTTAGTAAACTTTATTATATTATTTTAATAATTTTTTTTTTTTAAACCCGTGGTCAGGCCAGTACTATGCATTTATTAATCATTAAGAAAACCAATAGAGATATATAGGGCAATTGCATCATGGCTAAACTAAAAGACTTGTACTGATATACTTATCAATAACTTTCAATTCTCAAAAGAGCTTCAACCTCTAAGTGCAACCTTGAAAACAATATTTCGCTATGAACCAAGTTTAAGTAAAAACCCTCCTAACTTATCTATCATTGCCAGCAGATTGTCACTACTTATTATCCTTCAAGGAACTGAATTTGAGAAACTACAAAAGGAAAAAGGAAAAAGAAAAAAAAAAAAAAAGAAGTATATCTAAAAATATGCAAATACATTATATAAAAATGTAAGAAAAAGAAGAAAATTAAAATACTTCATGTCCTTCAAATGACCTCTACTAAAAACCTCTTCTTATTAAAAGTCAATCCTTCTAGGATATTCTTCTTCTTCCTAACCATTTGAGGAACTTATTTATTCGTGCTCTTGATTATTTTCTTGTGACCATTTGAGGTATTTATTGCCTATTCAGATCCAATGTTTTGCTCAACGCTTCTTTTCTTTCAGTCTGGATTTTGTATCCACCCATACAAAAGAAGATGACTAATAGTGGATCCCAGATTCTTATGTGGATTTCAGTCTTATTAAGTAACTTCCAATATTTTTCAGTAGCTACGCCTAGTTAAAGAAATTTTATTGATATTCATCTTGATTGCAATATCATTATACAATGTCTGGGAAAATGCATTCTGAATCCTAGAGAAGAACAGTGTTTTACATTTCTTTGTTTTTTGATCTTACAGTCTGACCAAAATAAGAAAATAACCTCCTTCACATATTTTGCTTAACTGGGATGATAGGAAGTTGAAGATCTCAGCTTGAACAAATAACCACCTTTTCATCACCTAGGGAATTTAATGCCCATCCTAATGATCTCATGATTTTTTTACTTTGGTTAAACTTTATTTGGAGGAGTAAAAGAGTTTATTTTCTTGATTTCTCTTTCAATCATCAATAACATCATTGAAATACCTGAGGTGATCAATATAAGCTTGTTTATATTCAGCTACTAATGTGTTTTGTATTAACCAATCAGATACCAGGTGACATTGTACTACCAAAAATTCAGGATCAAACTAAAATAGGCAAAATCTCTTAAGAAAATCAGGAAAAACAGTAAGCACTTTAAGAGAGTATAAGACAGTATGTGAGAGATGAAAAATAAGCCTTCCCTTGCCAACAGAACCTCTATATCTTGTTACTTCCAGCTCTGTAAGGTGACATTCCACTTGTCAGTTCTTTTTCTTTCTATAACCTTCTTGTCTTTAGTAGAGAAAGTACATACTTGAGTCTTTTCAGGTTACTAGAAGCTCAAGTTTTTATTCAAAAGAGTTTATAAATAGGTAAGAGAGGGTAGGAGAGATAAATGAAGACAAGCTTCAAGTTGTTTTAATGAAAGTATAAAGACTTTATTAGCAAAGAAGTATAAAACTTCTTGTGAACATCTTTTTTGTGTATGGTCAGAGGATCGGTGAAAAGAGTTTATTATTAATTAATTATTACTTAATTATTATATTATTTTGATAATTGTTGTAAACTAATTTATTTATATTTATATAACTTGTTTTAATATTTAGATTGTGATATTTAAACAATTAAAATATTTTATTATTTAGTTTTTAAAAATTTTTGATATTTTTTTGAGTTTTATAAATTTTGAATTTTTTTTAATTTATCAATAGAAACTATAGTTTATAAAATTTATTATAGTGTTTAGAAAAGCATAAATTGATACTGACCTGATTAGAAACTTGAAAAATTGATATTGAGCTTTTTTAAGTTTATTATAAATTAGCTTATAAATATATTTTTTTTATCTTATAAAAATAAAATTAATAAAATAAAATATAATCTTTAAACTTTTATTTAGTAGATAAGTTTTTTGAATATAATTGAATATTGTATGGTTTGTTCAATTTGAAATAATATAATGTTTTTTAGCTGACTTTTTTTTTTAAAGAAATTATTAAAAAAGAAAAACAATAAAAAAAATTATTTTTTAAAATATAAAAAAAAATAAAATTATTCTAAAAAAGTTTTTCTATATAAATAAAAAAAATTAAATCTATAGTAATTATATATAAAAAATGATATTAGAAGTTAAAAATTTTTAGACCTGTGGATCTATAGCACAGTGGTAATGCTCCCAGGTTACAATTATAAGGTCTAGAGTTCAATATCACTTGAGGGCCAAGTGAAAAATACCACATACAATGAAATAATTCTATTGGATGACAGGTTAATACTTGTTATTGAGTGCAGTTCTGGCTATCTTACTGATACTCAAAATAGAAGGATCCATTGTAACACAGCATTACCTATAGCTGATTTTTATCAGATCAGATCAGTCTATGGGTATTGTGGATAATCAGTATCTTATCATTATCATGATAAGGTGGAGGAAGATGGGACTGATTTCGTGATCAACTAGGACAAAATTAGATTGATGAAAACACTTCATTGATTTTACCAACTGATAAAGAAGTTTTCAAGTTAAGAAGGCTTAAGTCCTGAAAAAGAATAAATATTGTACTGATGGGATACTTAAAAGTATGGTCAAACTTGCATATGATGAATCATTGAGAGACCTTGATAGGAGGAGGAATCTGCAAACCATGCCGAAGTCTCAAAACTAGGAACAAGTTAGAGTATACGCAACAGTCTGATAACTAGATTACTCTATAAAATCGTTCTAAGAAAAATTAAAAGAATGTTATATGGTTTTCCTTAACAGGGCTAGTTAATATATATAGTATGTAATACATTTACCATGTATAAAACATCATATGTACAACATTATTTTGTAGTAAATAAAAATTACAGAAATGAAAAGATCAATAAACTCATTGGTAAAGAAATAAAAGAGAAAAAAGAAGTTTGATCTAAAATAAGTGACTAAATAGACAAATGGTTAGAAGAGATCCAGAAATCTAATAGGAATCTTTTCAATACCATCTGCAAATACATGGAAGAAAGCAAAACCACTTCCTTGAAGAAATATTTCAAAGAGCAGCTCAAGATCCAACTAACAAATATATAGGATATAATTAACAAACTCTATCAGAAGATGAGAGCAAATTTTAAAAAGAAGATTTGAAATACTTGTTGTATCAACATTATAGAATAGGAAAAGAAGCATAATATTACAGAAGAGGACAAAAGAAACAAGAAGTCCAAGTCGAGACCTAATGATCAGATTGAACAGAACCAAAAAAAATTGTTGTTATCTTCAAAGGATTCAATTCTGAAAGATATCAAAGAAATAAAAGAAAAGAAGTATATGACAATTATTAAGGATTGGGTTTGTCACGAAATAAAGTGGTTTGGTTTTTAACTGTAAACAGAACTTAGAATGATTTACAGTAAGGATCTGTAGACAATGATTTATTAATTAGAGGAATTATCCAAATTAGTAAAGGAACGAAATATCATTCCCTAGATTGTATTTAGAAAAATAATTTTTTTAACTACGAGTGAGTCAGTATATAAAAGTCACAACAATTTGTAAATACCTAGCATATATACAATAAAGACATGCCATGCTGACCTGACTGTGGATTAAAAAAAAAAAGTTGAAAATTTTTTTTAGAATAGTAATAATAAAGATAAGTAAGTTAATTGGAAATTTAATTTTAATATTATATTTATTTTATATATACAGTTTAAAAATGTTTAATAAAATATACATACAGTAACTAGTCTGACAATAATAATAATAAAATAGACAAGAAAAGCAAATTGAATTTTTATTTATTATTATTTATTTGAAAATCAGTTTCTACAGTAATTCTGATTTAAGGATATTAAGGAGAATCCAATATGAGTGAAATACAGTATGTATAATATGTATTTCAATGACAAATGAGTTAGCACGCAAAACATGTACAATCAATATTGTATACACTATTTATAATAAAGACAAGCCATGTTAACCTGACTGCGGGTTAAATAATATTCTAGTTTAGCACAAGTGTTTCAATTAGTGATAAGCCTCAAATGTTCATAACATAATATATCTCTTTTTGGTCATTTGTTGTATTTAGAACACCTAAGTGCAAGGGAAATAGTCTATTGATTTTACTTCAAGTCCACCACACTAACTTGAAATATTCTGGCAATAACGAAGTGCCATAAAACCCGTAAAACGAGAAGTTGTGATAATGAGGCTGTCACACCTGAATATTTTAACACATGATTATGGCTTAAATTTTTTGATTCGATCAAATCGTTCTCTTTCGTTTTTACAATGGTAATTAAACCCCAATTCATATACTGCAAAGGCATTTCATGTAAGAAAGTAAATTCCAATAGTAAATATTTTTAATAGGGGAACGAACAAGCAAAGGAAAGCTCCCACCATGACGTTCACGTCAAACACAAGCCTATGCATGAAATCTTCCGAAAGGGGATACAGTATAATAGTGAGATCTTTCAACAAGAGAATTTCGCGGCTTTCAGATATGTCAAATAGTTAACATTGCATTATCATTCCCGTTTTTTTTTTTTTTTTTAGTGAAAATAATAATACGTGGCGATATTAGAACTGGAAAATCTACTTTATGTAACAATCATGGATAATTATCGATCTGAACTTCCACAATCGAATATATTTTTCACACAACTTTTATTATTATCTAAGTTGGCCGTTTACAAGGAGAAGGATTTATAAGAGAATACACGCCAACTCCGCAAATTCAAGTTGCCAACATACAATGGAATTATAATCAAACAAATGATATCATTAAAGTGGAAATTTGGGATGTGGTTGACAAAAGCATAAATCCCTCTACTGTCAGTAAACGGCCTGATGTGCTTGATAATGGGTTGAAGATTGAAAATTCTCAGGGTAATAAAGCTTTGATCGGGTATTATGTATTTCTATCTCTTGAAGAACCTTATCATAATTTATAAGATGCGATTTATCCAGCTACGCCAACATCTCCTCGGCCCCTGATCTCACAAATACCACCGGATCAACTTACTTTAGACGCGGCGACCATTAATGTCTATCGTAATACTCATGGTGTTATTTTGATGTTTGATATGACCAAGAGCTGGACATTCGACTACGCAGTTAAAGCATTACAAGAAATGCCGGAAAATGTTGCTGTGATAATTCTGGTTTGTAGTTTCGTTGAATTCCATTGTTTTCGCGAATTTTTATGAATCTTTATTAACATGTAACAAAAATAGGGTAACTTTAGTGATCGGAGGTACTTGATCGTTTTTTGTACGTGCACAAATATTTGATCTAGATTATTTCAAAAACTTAATATAAACAATCCTTTGCACCGGTAACCTCATGTTGACCAAGTGCGCAGCGCGTAATATCTCAATCTCAAGTGCACCAAGTCATATCCGAATTTAATCGCAAAAGAATAACCGAATATCCTCCAGCTAATATGATTCGATATGTGGAGACTAGTATGTTGAGTGGAATTGGATTAGATCACATTTATAAATACTTTGGCGTTCCTTTCTTGCAATTACAGGTATACTGTTTGTTGTTTATGTCCTTAAAATCGTCGACTTGATCTCGTTTAACAATATTCATTTTATAGAGAGATATTCTTCGGCAGCAGCTTAACTTCAAGACAACGGAGTTAACGAAATTGCTTAGCTCTTTGGATGTCAGCGATGATATTCCCGGTTTAGCTGATCATCGCCAAGAAGATCAGATACTCAATTCAACCGCAGGTACGATTAGTTTCAAATGTTTCATTGTAATGGGTAGGACGAAAAGAACGCTTAATTCATGGTTATGCATTGGTACCTGAAATAATAGAGGATCCATCGGAAAAGACAAATCTCGAGAAACTTCCGGATGAAGAATTTAAAAATTTCACGGAGGGAAAAGGAGCTGGTAATAATAGTTAAAAGAGAAACTTTCTAATCCATCATCTTATTAATGATATTTATGATCGGGAATTTGTTAGAGTTAACGGAGCATGAAGTGACAAATTCTACTTCAATTTCTACAACGTTACCGCAACACCCAAAGGAGACGACTCCCAATATACATATCATCGAAGACTTTGATGCTGGAGAGTTAGAGGATGATTTTTTCAACGATGCACCGGATGACATACCTAATCTTCCAAAGGTCGACCCATCTAAATTAGACTATGTCGAAGAAGCTGAATTGTCCAATCCGATGGTCACTGTTGACGAGGATCTCGCCGGGGTAGATCAACAAGTAGATGAGGATGAAGGGAAATCTTATGGTGATATCATCAGCACACAGAGTTTCAATAGAGACTTCGATGATGTTTGGAGACATCGCCATCATACTCAATTCACTTCGACAAGTAGAATCACCGATAGCAGTGATGAAGATCTGGTACCGATGGCAAAACGCTTGGATTACTTGGGTCAGTCGTCCGTACAAACAAATGACCTAAACATAGAAGAAAATACTGGTTCCCGCTCGAACTTGGAATATCAGAGAGATGAGACATCACTTGACACGGGTGAATATGTTCCAATGACCTTTGGAACACCAAGTGGATATGAAGAGATTAGCGAGGGCCAAGACAATCCGTGGTTAGAGGGTGGCGAAGCACAAGGAAAGGAGGATTCGACTTTGTCTTCGTCATTTGTCTCACCGGTGAGACCTGAACTCCATAGTTATGAGATGTTTGGTGGACAAGATGAAAGACCATCCAAACCCATTAATGAATCCGACCGGGATATCATAGAGGTTGTTGTTTATCTTCTTCTGATTACAGTTTTTGGAAAACTTGTGCTAAAGTAATTGACCGTTTTAATGTTGTAACATCCAAACGATATAGCCATCGACGTATTCAAACCTACACCTAACTCATCCGCACCCATTTTTAGAGCAAGGATCAGTTTCGGGTTTATCATGGGGTGATGTGAGTGAAAACAGTGATGTCAATCAGACCGTAACTAATCCAACAACTGAGTCGACCGAGGTTTCGGAATATACTGAAGACTCAAAAAAGAAAGTACCAAAAGGACAAAAAATCGAGACCGATGAAGATGGAGGTGATATCAGTACAACGACAATGAAAAATGGAGAAGCGACAGATCGAAAGAAGACCAAGAAAAAGAAGAAGAAGAAGAATGCTGACATTGGTATTAATTCTGCGAATGCCAATGACAAACTTTCTGTCAAGTCGGGCGGTGAGAAGTTAACGACGAAAAAGAAAAGTAAAAAAAAGTAGGGTTAATGGTACCGAAAGAGTTTGTGGAAAATAGATTCCGCAAGGTTTAAATTAATTCATCGTACTGTACATAGAAAAACTGGCACTAATTTTTTAAATCATCAATGCATTTAAGAAAAATCTCATTAGTAATTATTTTAAAGTTCCAGAATCGAAATTTGAAGAATGGAACAAATGCGTTTGCAAACGAAAAGCATGTTGTAAAAAAGTTGTATTGAATTTTTGATTAGCTGACGATAAATAGTCGACCAACCCACATAATATTCATGTAACCATTAAAAAACGAAAGTTTTGTTGGGAAAAGACTTTAGTCCGACGACAATCACGTTTCGCAAATCGCGCAAAATACGGAATAAAACTTTTGATTCAATCACCAGACAAGTATGGGCACGACCATAGATCTGGTTAGTGAATTACATCACCACGAACGATAAAATATCTTCACATCGAATTTCAACTGCAAGAGTTCATCTATCTGATATTTTATTCATAGAATCAAAGTAATGGAATGAAAGCATCAAAGTACAATCTAAAATTCGGATACATGTTTTATGAAGTGATACTGTCGTAATGGATGAAATCTTGTACATGCTTTTTAAAAGGTGTGATAGACGACGAGTCCAGTCAGCAAAGCCGTTATCAGAGAAGCCAAAAAATTAACCTGCATGAAATTAGTGAAATTTATTGATTCGCCGTGCTTAAAAAACTCGATGCATACATGTCCCCTACCTGATTATTATCCAATAGGTCATTTCCGCTCACCAGGGTACTTTCCTCGGCCTTGTGGTATGTAATCTTTTGTAGCTTTTCAGAATAAAATGAGGTTTGAACTGTTGCGCCCAACAATGAATCAATCAGGGATCCAACCAACCCTGCGGTCGAGGCTATCGGGATCAATTCGAGCCACAGTCTGTTACATCCGCCGGCTAGAAAGATGGATATGACCGCGGAAGCACCAATAATAAAACCTCCCATCACCGAAGCAAACAAACCTAACGAGGACACACCACCATTGGTTCCCGGAGGCACCTGGATCAAGTAAATTCCTTGATCGAGATTAAGAAATCAAAACGAAAGGCGGGTTTAAACGAGTACCTTCTTAAGGGTGGTTATTAGTATAGGCCAGCCTTTGTTAAGGATACCAAGTTCGCTCGCCCACTGAAAGTTTTCACCAATGAATTTAGATCTCTGGGTTGAAGCAGAAACGAGTTGTAACTTGTACCACATAATTATAATTAATACCGTGTCTCCATTGCAAGTCGAATAATGTCTTGAAGTGCATAGACAAGAGTAAATTAGATCAAATGCACTCTAATTCATCCACCCAACTCGGATGTTCCTCTTACCCTAAGTACATGTAAAATAATAACCGCGATACACGATCATCCATCAGGCATTCTAGTTTTCCACCATAATAATATTGATGAATTATAGTAATGACCGCGCCTGTTAAGGCATTGCATGCAACCTGTGTGGCAGTCCTCTGGCCACCTAAGAATTCGAGAGTCACGAAAATTTTCTCAAGCGTCAAACACGATTTTTAAGATTCACTTTGATTACCTTCAAGGTATTCTTCCTCGAGTTGTCTCTTCCTTTCTGCTTTATACTACATTGAAGTTCTCCGTTAAAGCGACAGGTGCATAACCCGGCATCATATCATTCCGTCATGTTTAGTTCGTGCTCACCTTCGTCAACCTTGAACCAGTAAAATAAAATACCAACAACATCACCGCAAATACCGACCAATCATTTGATAGCGTCAAAAGCCCCACCAAGAATGCCGCAATCGCTCCGGAATTCGATAGGGACTTTTTCCTAAGGCCATGATACGCCAATCCCAATGAGATGACGAGGGATGCTATTAAATTCATTTGGCAAAGGTTTTAAATTGATAAATAGAAATGCGTGCATGAGGGAAGGGATGTTTGGGTTACACATCACGCACGAATTATGAGCGCTGATCATCTAATGTGCACAGAATTGTGTGCGATGCAGAGAAAAGGTTACGAATCATATCTTTAATACATCTCGAGTAATACCCGGGTGTTCAGTTTACGTAAGAAGCAATCCACAAGTAAACCACGTCGCCGAAGCGTTTCCACGCTCCTCGAATGTAACAATTAATTACATAATGATGTCAAAAAAAAAAAAGTCCAAGGCATATTTTCGACATGTGGATCTACAGTAATTGGTCACACTATTAATCGCATCACTGGGTCGATCGAATGAAGACGAGCGCTTTCGGACGAATGTTGGTAGCATGTGAATTCAATTTCATACAGGAGATCAGGGTAATTTCCGAGACATTTCATTCAGATAAGTATTTATTTATTTATTTATTTATTTATTTATTTTATTTACTTATTTATTTATAAAAAAATCTACAACAAAAAAAAAGGATAGGTCAGTTATAAAAATATGGAAATATTTTAAATCTGTACTAAGAAAAAGCGCTATAGAGATATGCGATAGTATGTGATGAATAGATATAAACAAAACACCCGTATAGCGCAAAAGAAATATATACATATATATGGATACATAATATATGTTTACGCACATATGTAAATAAAAAGTGAAAAAAGGTTTTTTTTTCTTTTTTTTTTTTCTTTTTTTTTTCTTTTTTTTTTAATCTAAACATATATATAGGAAATGTAAAACTTATCGTCTTGAAGTTTCTAAATTTTATGATAGAAAACCCCGGGGTTCGGAGACGAGCACCTGATATTAGATCAGGGGTACGCAAAAGAAAAAAAAAAAAATTTTTTTTCTTTCCATGAAAGAATATTGGTTGGGGCTTTCGTTGGTGCTTTTTTTTTTTTTAACATATCCACGGCGTTGATCCAATCTCGGAACAAAAAAAAATTATTTTTTTTTTAAAAAAAAAAGAAAAAAAAAAAGTATACTTGTTTAAATGTTGAGCATGATGAAAATTGCATAGGTTCTTTTTTTTTTTTTAAAAAAAAAAAAAAGAATGAGTGTTTCCAAAGAAGTTCGAACATAAAGAGGTGAAACGCGGAAGGACCGAAAACCTCTCAAAGAAAGGAAAGAAGGAACGACAATATTGAAAAGGAAAACAAATATCGTGTAAATTCCATAATCACGGATAGTAAAGTTCATAGAAATCACAGCATAGAAGGTCATTTGGTGGTGAGGGATCAATCATGTTGAGTGAGCGTCAAGGAGGAATAGTAGCATAGACCCGAGATCGAAAGGAAGAGAGAATGCGCAATGAGTAAAAAAAAAGTAGATTTACAAGAAACCACTTTCTTGCAATAATCTCGCAATTTTTTCATCCTCTCGTTCCCTATAATGCAAGTAATAAAATCATTATTTTGACTTTTTTCCAGGCGAGTCACCAAATCTGTAAATTTTAATTATTATATATTTCAAATTGTGGTCAAAAATACAGGTGGAATCTGAAGAATAAATCTTTTGAGAATTTCAAAGACTTTGATCTCAATTGAGGGAAGGGGATGGCGGGGCGGGGTGAGCAGGGAGTGGATGGGCGGTGAAATGCTTCAAATTTCCATCTGGCCCCCCGCCAAACGCATCCACCCCATCACGCCGATCCAGCTATTCTACTTCCAACCAGAAACAGAAAGAGAGAGAGAGAACACGCTCCTACCTTGGTTCCATGCTTAAACTTTGTGAATATAAGTCTGCCACGTCTTTACTATCTTGCAAGTGTGATTGAATAAATATTATAATGTCTTGAACGGGAGTCAATGAATATGGTATGGATTGATATTGTTGTATCTCTCGGATGACCTCGGCAGTTTTCATTCGCTTCGAAAAATTGATGAGCTGTCGTGATTTCTTGATTATGTTGGGATTACCGTCTTCAATGAAAGTCAGATCGGTCAAGTATACACCTGCAATCGTGAAATTATCGATTGTCACATCACCGTGAGATTCCGAAATGTCAATCATACTCGTCATCATGTCAAATGCGCTTACCTAAAAATGGCACACACGGAGGATTAATGCTGTGCAGTATATCTCGGTAGTCTGCGAAATTTTTCGTGGAATTCATGATCCTGTTCAAGTTCTCGAGTGTTTGTATGGTTCTCGCGTTCACCATCTCCCATGTTCGTTTCAACCTATGAATTGGTGCCGAGTTTAACCCCGAAATTATGGCTGTCAAGGAGTTGAAATTGTTCAGGACTCGGCATTTCTCGGCCACCGCAACGAAATGTTTTATCAAGGAACATCGCTTCTTGATTTCCGGTTGGTTTAATATGGACTCCGCCACCCATCCGGTAATCTATGAGATTGATTGATTTGGTGGGTGTTCGCGCATACACGCACGTGAAAAAAAAAAAAAAAAAAGGCACGCGACAAAAATGAAAACTTTACTTGATTACTGTTAACAAT